CTGAAATTTTCCAGTCTGAGAAATTGGGGTTGTAGTTCCCATTTAACCCACAGCATATCTGTGGACTGTGGGAGAAAACATGAGCGCCCAGAGGGCCCCCACACAGACACAGGCTAAAGTCCATGCAGCCCAGGTACGGAATTGATCCCAGCACTGCTAACCACTGTGCCATTGTGCCACTTTCTGTTCATCTTACCTTGAAACATAACACATTTGCCAGGGGAATTTAAAATGCATATCAGTGATTGGTTTTTTGAAATGGTACTGAGCATCAGTGCATTCCTTCAGATTCTCTGAGATAAGCAAATGACTATGTCATGCATATTTAAATTAGCATTCATATGTCTGGCAGAGGATGATGTGTGGAATAAAAGTGCAAGACAGCAGTTGCCTACGTTTAGAGCATCTTATGTCTGCTCACAATTGCTAGGAAGTGCAATTAAACATTTTGTTAGAACTAAAATGTCTTCATTAAGGATACAGATAGGATATGTCTGTACTTATGTTCTTATGTGTACATATTAGAGCACAGGAATTAGTGAACATTGAAGTGCAGCAAGAATATCTCAAATTTGACGTGCTTTACCCATTTACTTTGAGATAAAAAACACTATTTTTTTCCCCAAAGTTAGGGATTTTTACTTATGAAATGCAGTTGTTAAATAAAACAACAAATTAACCCTATTATTAAGTAATTTAATGGTTTAGTTGTATAACTGAGAGCTTGACTGGAACAAAAACCAGCTGGTGTGTGGACCTTTAAGACATGCTGTAATGGTAAAAAAAAGGCAGACATTTTTGTGCTTCATTTGTGCCCAGAAAGATCCAGTTGAATTAAAAGGCTTTACTTGTATTGTAATATGCATTACAGTATTTTATACTGTTCGTGTGAAACCTGTGTGAAACTAAAGTGTTTCCTCATCTTATAACCATCACATTGTAGTCAGTTTTTTTGTTCTTTTTCTTGTAGCTCCATTGACACCCAGGAAGCTATGGCTGTACCTGGAGTAGTGACCTTCCTCTCAGTCAAAGATGTCCCAGGGAGCAACAGTACTGGCCCAGTTATTTATGATGAAACAGTCTTTGCTGAAGACATGGTAAGAACATCTTTCAGAAAAGTGTGTTACCAAGTGATTTGCCCTTACCATGCTAAACAGGGAAGATGAAAATTGTGTTATTAAACCATTGGTACATTACTGAGAATTAAGCAGAAAGTTATTAATACACTTCACATTTAGGAAATTGCATTGCTGCTGGGCATATTTAATTGAAAAATACTCTTGCCTTTTTTGAAAACCTTTCTTTAGAATTATTTTTCTTTATGGTGTAAAGTGAAAGCAAATATTGGAAGAAGTTTAACTACTGGACCTTCCAGATCATGTCAGATCAAACAAAATAATGTTTGTTTAAACAACTGTTTTTGAAAATTCTTCAGTGTTATTATGATCTTGCCTCACTAAATCAAGAAAGTAAACATCTTCTTAAGCATACTGTTGCCCAGTTACTGTGCTTAATCTCCGAAAAAAACATAAAGTATTGTTTTTATTATTAGACACAATACTCTTGTTTTTGTGAAATAATAATAAAGTGCCAAATGTCCACATGGAAAGTAAAATTAATGAAAAATAACTGTTTATTTTGTATCATATTGTTTTTACATATAAAGTGTCAGTAAAATCAGAAAATGTGTGTAAAACCCATTCCATAAATCTTTATACAAGCAGCACATGAAGCTTACAGAGGTAAATATCTTAATGTGAAACACTGACAGATTCCTTCTGACCATGATCAAGACACTTTAAGTGTACATAGCAATTAGTGTGGATCATTCACATGCAAGGTTTCAAGGCATCCTGTGTAATAAAAGCTGATGAAAATATGAGAGTCAGGGTTATCCTTTGCAAATTAGGGTCTGTAATCCTTTGTAACAGTTGACCCCTATTGTCCAGGTGGGTACATGACAAGTGAGTGTGGAGAAAAGTACTGTCTAAAGAAAGAAACAGAAATAATAATAATAATAATTAATTGCTTACACTTATATAGCACTTTTCTGGACACTCCACTCAAAGCGCTTTACAGGTAATGGGGACCCCTCCACCACCACCAATGTGCAGCATCCACCTGGATGATGAGACGGCAGCCATAGTGCGCCAGAATGCTCACCACACATCAGCTATCAGTGGGGAGGAGAGCAGAGTAATGTAGCCAATTCATTGAGGGGGGTTATTAGGAAGCCATGATTAGTAAGGGCCCATGGGAAATTTGGCCAGAACCCCGGGGTTACACCCCTACTCTTTTTAAGAAATGCCCTGGGATTTTTAATGACCACAGAGAGTCAGGACCTCGGTTTTACATCTCGTCCGAAGGTGTCCCTGTCACTATACTGGGGCATTAGGACCCACATGGACCGCACGCTGAGCACCCCCTGCTAGCCCCACTAACACCTCTTCCAGCTGCAACCTAAGTTTTCCCAGGAGGTCTCCCATCCAGGTACTGACCAGGCTCACACTGCTTAGCTTCAGTGGGTTGACAGTTGTGAGTTGCAGTGTGAACTGGCTGCTGGTCCAAATAGCTGGACCTTCCTTTTTCCTGCACTCAAACTAACTAGCACAGCTGAGAGGGTCAATCAAATCTACAATCCAATGTCCAATTAAATGCTCAACAATCTACAGCCCAACAGTGTTGTTCTCTGGGCAGTGGCTAGGGCATGGGCCTCTTAGCTGAAGGGTTGAGGGTACAAGGTACCATACATCTCTCTAGTAAGTTTCTTGTTGTCTAAATGAGTCTCCTGGTCATGAGTTTATGTTCTTAATGGATTAATTGATTAATTAATTGGTTAAATGAACGAATACAAAAAAAAATAATTTATTGATTATATAACTTCCTTTTGTGTTTTTCTCTAGGTCACATGTGTTGGTCACATTATTGGGGCCATAGTTGCAGACACAAAAGCACATGCTCAGAGAGCTGCTAAACTTGTACAGATCTGCTACAAGGACCTGCAACCTGTTATCACAATTCAGGTAGGCGATGAAAAATGCACCTTGCATAGCACATGTACATGCAGGATTTTTACATTAAAAAAATTTAAAGATTAGCTTAAAGTAATCTTGTCATTTAAGAAGTAGGTTTTAATGTCATTTTGTATTGAGGTTTTAAATCAAATAAATCCTATTATTAAGTCAATTAATGGTTCAGTTGAGAGCTGAGAGCTTGACTGGAACAAAAACCAGCTTATGTGTGGTCCTTTAAGACATCCTGTTATGGTACATCCTGTTGTCATTTAAGAAGTAAATTTTACTGTTGTTTTTTAATTGATGTTTTAAATCTGTTTAAGAAAACAACCATCCATCTATTTTCTAACTACTTTATCCAATACAAGGTCACAGGGGGGCAGGAGCCAATCCCAGCAAGCAAAGAACACAAGGACAGGACGAAGGGCACACACACACAGACACACACTCACACCAGGGCCTATTTTCCCACAAGAAAATTAATCTCTGTCTTTGGAAATGAAAGCATCCAGAGGAAACCCACACAAACATGGAGAGAACATCTAAACTCCACACAGATAGCTCTCCAGGTCCAGAACTCAGGGCCCTAGCACTGTGAAGCAATACTCCCACCCACTGCACTACTGTGCCACCCTTTAAGGAAAACAAAGTTTAGAAAATATTTTATGTTATTTGAAGTGTAATTTCAAATAACATATGAAATGTCATGAAATGTCATTTTGAAATGTTATATGTTACTGGAAAATAAGTTAATAATTTAAGAATAAACTATTATATTTAAATATTTGGAAAAGTGTTTTTATAGAACAAGTTGAAGCACCGTGAATATAGTAAAAAACATTTGTCTCTCTACTGTAAGAACTAAAATATCTGACGTTTTGTGACCTTAATTTGGTGGTGACATAACAGAAAATTACACTGTGTTATTGAAATTGTTTCTCCCACAGGAGGCAATAGCAAGTCAATCATTTTATGAGCCTATCAGAAAGATTGAAAGAGGGAACATTAACCAAGGATTTCAGGAAGCAGATCAGATCTTGGAAGGTATGACCCTTTTCCCTATTAACCCAATAAAGATTAATTTAAAATAATCATTAAAAATGATATCCAACTATAGAACTATCAACTGTCATTCAAAGTGTACTAGAAAATCTGGTGTTGTATAGAAGACGCAAGCTGAGTTCCTTCAGGGCCAGCGACCACTGTACATCCAAAACCTAAGAACATATCATCATACCTTTTGAGTTTGTAGTTTATTTAACAGGTTTTGGAGCTGTAACAAATGAATGTAGCCTGCGCACACTGATGCAGCTACCCACCGGAAATAATTAATGTCTGTTAGCAACAAGACAAAACAATATGGGAGTCCTGGAGAAGGATGATGTTATAATACTATGGAGCAGAAAGTTTGATGATCAGCATTAGCATGAAACACAAACAAGGCGTAATATCTTGCTTTCTCATCTCATCGAATGTTAAAAAGATGAATTTGTATTTCATGCTGTTTCAATTCTTTCTGAACTGGATAGTATCCTGACTTTGTTGGGATTATGCTCCTGCAGGACAGATGCATATTGGAGGACAAGAACACTTCTACATGGAAACACACTGCAGCCTTGCTGTTCCAAAAGGAGAAGATGGAGAAATGGAGCTTTTTGTGTCCACACAGGCTACAGCAAAGACACAAGTAAGTGAGCACAGTCAAAAAGAACTTCGGGAGTTAATTAAGAATATATATCCAATACTTCTATGGATTTACTCTCGTGCTGGAATGTATTATTTAGTCATGCCTATCAATAATATGTTTCTTTCAAAAGCAAACATTTAAAAAAATGTTTTTGTAAGACTTTGTAGCTTCAAAGCAGGTCCCCTTAACAGGAAGCAGCTGATAGGAGATTTGTTTCCCACAGTTAAACAGAAAACTTCTCCACTAGAAGCAATGTACTATGATTAAAGCAAAATGAACCCCTGAAAATCAAAGTCTCAGTGAAGGCATTGTGCTTAACTGCAAAGGAACAGGTAAAGGTTTATTCCATGCTGAAAGGAAAGGAGACACAACATTTCCGCTGTGGAGTCTTCTTCAGGTGTGTGAGCCTTCTTCTTCACACCTTAAGAAAGCTCCACCGCTGAAACGTTGTGTCTCTTTTCTTTTCCTTTCAGTATGGAATACACCTTTTACCTGTTCCTTTACACCTTCCACATGCTGGAGTAGCTACCTACTTGAACTTCTTCAACCCATTGTGTTAAACTGCTTTCTGTTTGGGGGTTCAAGTCACAGTTAAAAGAGTCTCATGGTCCCTAATCCCTCTGTTGCATTTTTTCATGTGGTTCCTTATTTGTATAAATTTCAGCAACTTGTTGCCAAGGCCTTGGGGGTGCCCGCCAATAGGATTGTGTGCAGAGTGAAGAGAATGGGAGGTGGCTTTGGAGGGAAGGAGTCTAGAAGTACCCTATTGTCAACTGTGGTTGCTGTTGCAGCTCACAAGTAGGTGGATGAATCCGCCAAAAATCATTTAGGCAGTAGCTATAAAAATGTCTGCTGTTTGTCTGGCCAGAAACATTATCCAAAGTCTGTAAATCCGGCCTTTTGTTTTCTAATTGTTCTCAAGTGTAGCCACTTGTAAGACTGTTAAATGTGACTAGAATTGCATTGAAAATAACTTAAATTATAAGTTTCATAAGCTGCTTATTGTACATATCTAATTTTTGTTTAATTTACTTCCTTTCACAGTTCTGCATTCCAGCTGGTAAACTTACCACAAACTAGTTATTCTTCATTTTTGGAAATACAGGATTTTTACATATTATTATTACCAAAATAGCTTCAAAACAGCCCTGAAACAGTTTAACATAATATCCTGCTTGAAGACCTCTTTAAGATGTTTCTGGTAAAAGTGGGTCAAATAATTTTTTTGATTATTGCCTTTAAATGTAAAAAGTGTCTGAATTCCATGGTGTTCCGTCCCAGTGTGTGTTCTGTGTGTGTTTTTTTATGTTCCACACTGCTGACCCTTGATTGTTCTATCTTCCCCATTGGCCCACCATTACACCACACTTTCTGTATGACATCGTGATCAATTAGCTTATCGGCCAATCAGAGTGCATCTTATTCAGGATATAATATGGAGGTTTTCTGAAGGAAAAAGCCTTTTGTTTGACTTCGGTCCTACTTGGTTTTGGTTATCGCTTCGGCTTTGTTCTTTCGCTGCGTGCGTGCGTGCGTGCGTGCGTGCGTGCGTGCGTGCGTGCGTGCGTGCGTGCGTGCGTGCGTGCGTGCGTGTGTTTATAGCTTTGGCTTAAACTAGTTTGTTTTGAAATTGTTTTGTTGGTTTCTGTTAGTTTCTTTGTACTCTTTTTTGTTTGTGTGTTCATCCTTGTTTTGGCATTACCTTGCCCTCACATGTTATATGTTCAACTTTTGTGTTCTTTGTACCCTGTTCCTGTTGATTACTCTTGTTTTCCCTTATTTGTATTCCTAGTTCACTTGTGTTTTTGTGTGAACTTGTTTATAAGGTTGGTTTAGGTTGTTGGGTACATTCTACACACTTAGTTGATTTTGTGTTAGTAACACTAGTTTAGTACGGGTGAGTGCTGTTTGTCTTGTATGGTTTTGGGTAGTCAGTGGAGGTTAGTTAGGGTGTTGAAGACGCCGAAGACCGTGTATTTCGGGTTTTCTTTTGTAGTCAGGTTAGCTTTCCCTCACCTTCCTAGCCAGCTCCATTTTGTTTATTTTCTTTTCTTTGGCACCACTCTAGTTCCTTACCTTTGTTATCACGCTTCCTAGTCCCTCACCAAAACCCACCTGCTTCCAAAAGAATTATCCTAAATGTTACACTCTTTTACCCCTAGACACTTGGGGTCATAACACATGGATAGGAGCAACCTAGAGGGGAACAGGGGACTTTATATCAGTCATTAGGGGGATTTTGCCAGTGTATCATTAAACATTTAAATATCTATTCTTACTATAGTGCTATAAGTGATTACAATATTTACACAGAACTAGTTTAATTTACTCTACCTAGTAAATATATATAGATAAACAATATTTGTCCTAATGTCCTTTAAATGAAATTTCTCTCAAATGTGTTTATATTGTGTATTACATACTGTCACGACCACCAGCCAGCGGAGATCAACACGTAAGCGAGCCAATCAGCACCAGCAGCGGATTACTTCTAACAAGCGCCGCCGCACGAGTTAACAC